TTGTCTCCCCGCTTACGCACCTGTTTTTTGTCTATGCACGGCGTATACTGATTAATTTATTTAAAAATATGTATTGTAAACCATAAAAATGCAAAAAACATTCATTGCACTGTATTTACTACCGGCCGTTTTCGTTAAGGTAAATGCATTTGAATCATTTACAGAAGCGAGAAAAGTTTTGGAAGAAATTGCAAAATTAGGGAAGACTACATACAGTTTTTTTCAAGAAACATGCGGTGACTCGTGGATTGATTTCAATTCAACGGGTGGGTATAATCACCAGCCGGATATTTTAGAGGACAGATAAGTAGCTGTTTTATTTGTCCTATTAAGCCGTCTTTGTACTTTTAAGAAGTTAGCTATGGGTGGCTTGCGGTAGGTCACTATATACACGTACTATACCATATATTTTCCTCCGGAAAGTTAAATAGACCGTCTAGTTTAATTTTATTTTTACAACAACAAAGAATGTTATTGCAGGGCTTTAGATAATGGGCTTTTCTGCATTAAACGGACATTATTTTCGCTCACAATTCGATAAGCAAATTAGTAGTATGCCTAAAGTATTAATAAGATAATAAGGCTACATATTGTAATGTATTTTAAAAGATGAGAAATTGTGAATAAAAAAGTAAAAAGATGTTAGTGGTGTGGTGCTACTTTTTCCTGATTAAGTCCGACACGTTATTTTTTGATAAATATAGTTTTCATTTTTATTTCAGTTCACGAATTATTTTCTTTTATTTGGTGCCCGTTTTCGTTTCAGTTTCAGTTAACGATAATAAAACTGTTCCCAACAAGCCCAATGCGCAGAAACACGCTGGCATCATCAATCCACGTAGAATAAGCCTAGATTTTAAATATGTTCTAGCTCAAACACTTATTCAATAGAGATTCTAAAGTGGCAGGCTGATAATTTTATGGCTTCAATAATGGGTGCATTTAACGGCTGCAAGGACAAAAGATATTAAAAACTCTCTGTACTAATGATAATTTAATAATCATGAATAGACAGCGCTTATGGTGGTTTTGCCTATACGCTGGCGATCCATCATCCAGAATAGCGCGTGACTTCTTCTTCAGGCGCTAGTGCATAGCGCTAGTGCCTCTGTAACTTTGCACAGTGTAAAACCAACTCTTTGTTCTGTGTTAATTTAAACGACACAATTACGTAGTAATATTAAAGGAAAATATTTGTTATGTTGAATTGAAGCGTTTTAGTAATCATGTTATTTTCATTAAAATAAAAAAGACGTCGATTTAAAATATTGATGGCTATACGCATTTTCAGCGTCGGCTAATCGCAGCGGCCGTATTAAGTAGGCTACTTATTTATTTGCTGACATTAACGCTACCTCGTATCTTATAAAATGTTATAGTCACATCAGCTAAATGCATATTTTGTTATTTATGATACCCAGTGTCATCTTTGACAGGTGATTGATAGTTCTTTATTTGAATGGGTCATTGATTATAAATTGCACAACTGTCGTCTCACAGGGCTCCAAGTCGACCTTGAACAGAAGTTCTTCGGGCAGCACATAGCGTCAAAGGTTTTACTGAAGGCAATTACCGACTTTGCAAACAACAAGACTCCAAAAAAGCCTCTTGTCCTTTCACTCCACGGAGGGACGGGAACTGGGAAGAGCTTCGTCAGTCAACTCATAGCCTCCAATATCTACAAAAAAGGGATGTCCAGCAGCTTTGTGCACCAGTTCGTGGCCACTGTTCACTTTCCACACAAAAGTAAAATTGACATCTACAAAGTAAGAACAAGGGGGTAATATTGGCAGATATTACACATAACCCCTGCTGAATTTGTTCTTTACTCATGTGACGCAGTGGCTGTAGTTGACTGTGAATTTGGATTTTGTATTTCAGTACCAATCAAGCTATGATAACTTCCAGGTTTCACATTATTGTAGTGCACGTGTCCATCCTGACTCTCTCCAGGCTTTCACTGACATGCATTTCTCCTGCTTTCCAATGGTGTTTCCGTAGACCCAGCTACAGCAGTGGGTAAAAGGGAATGTGTCCAGTTGTGATCGCTCTATGTTTATATTTGATGAAATGAACAAGATGCCCCCTGGACTTATTGACGGTATTAAGCCATTCCTGGATTACTATGACAACCTGGATGGTGTGTCCTATCGACGTGCTATTTTCATTTTTCTTAGGTGAGTAACCTAAACAGAATTCCTTTGTTTGTCTGCCTCTACCTTTTATTTGTCTTCTGTTGTTTGATTCCTCTGGTATGCATGTGTCACACCCTGCTCATCCGATCCTCCTGTGTGCCGCGTCCCCTCGTTAGCTGTTCGAGTTGTTTTCATTAGTCCTGTATATTTAAGTCCCTGTCAGAGTATGTTTCCCTAGTCCTGTCATTGACGTTTCAGCCTCGTTAGTGTTCGTTATCGTGTCTCCCCTACATTAAATACCGAGTTTTACCCCTATTCCTGGACTCCAGTGCCTACCTGCCCGTCGTGCCCTCAGCGTACTGTGGCAGAATGCAGTCAGATGAGGTGTCTTCTTTTAGCCGAGTCCAGTCAAACCGTTTATAGGTTTAAAAAATAAAGTGCTTAAATAACAAGGTACAGATTGAATTAGATAATTTTATCTTGGTAGAATATTAATTTGAATTTATCCTACCAAGGAGAGAAAGAGGCAACAGATTCCATCTATCAATGTCCTCTATGACCTTATGAAAAAGTGGTCATTTTCATCTAGCAAATCTTCAATATTGGGGGATACATTTACCCCTAGATACTTAAAGCCTTTCTGTACCCAATCAAAAGGAGAGATAGTCTGCAGTTCCCTGGGTTTTGGTGAACCCATAAGACAAGCAGTTGATTCTATATCCAGAAATTTCCCCAAATTTTTAAATAATATCTAATACAGCAGGTACAGAAAACTCTGGTTCCGAAAGATAAAGTAAGATGTCATCTGCGTATGGTGAGATTTTATTTTGTATACTTCCAATATCAACTCCCAAAACAGCCTGACTGGCCCGTATGGCCTCTGCCAGAGGCTCTATGATTAAATCAAATAAAAGAGGAGACAGAGGGCAACCCTGTCGACAGCCTCTAGACCAGGGGTCTCCAACTCTGGTCCTGGAGAGCTATTATCCAGTAGGTTTTCTATCCTACCTGGTTTCTGATGAGTCATACCTGTTCTCAGGTAAATACCAGGAACAGGTGTGGCTCATCAGAAGCCAAGTAGGATAGAAAACCTACTGGATAGTAGCTCTCCAGGACCGGAGTTGGAGACCCCTGCTCTAGACAATTCAAACCTCTCTGAAAAGATACCATTCATACATATATGTGCGCTGGGGTTTCTATATAAGGACTTAATCCGATTTATAAATGTGGCACCCAAATTAAATTTAGCTAATACAGAAAAATATGTCCATTCTATTGTATCGAAAGCCACCTCTGCATCCAAGGATACTATTAAAGTTTTAAGTTTATTACGATTTGAATAGTCAATAATATTAAGAAGTCTGGAAAAATTATCTGAACCGTATTTATCTATTATAAAACCAGTCTGATCTGGATTTACCAGGAAAGGTAAAACCTTTTGCAATCTTCTTGCAATTAATTTAGCTCAAATTTTAAAGTGAACTGAAAGTAACGAGATTAACCGATATGATGTACAATCAGTAGGGTCTTTATCTTTTTTATGGATTAAGGAGATAGATTCTGATGCCATAGATTCAGGGAGTGTCCCATTTTTAAAAAAGTCATTGAGCATTGGCATAAACAAAGGTTCAATTTCAAGTCAAAAACATTTATGGAACTCAGTTAAGTATCCATCTAAACGTGGTGCCTTTCCCGAAAATAGAGAATCAATGATTTGTTGTACTGTACCTCCTCTGCAGTAAAGGCGGAATTTAGGTAGATCTTCGGAAAGTTTTGGAAAGATTAGGCAATTTAAAAATGTAATAGTGTCTAAATCAGAAGGACATTTAAAAGCATATAGTGACTTAAAGAAATCTACGAAAGAGTCATTTATCCTCTTTGCCTCATACGTAAACTAACATTGAGAGTCACAAATAGCTGTGAACGATAAGCGCGTTCTTTTTTCAAATGAAGTAATAGAAGTTTACTAGGTTTCTAGGTTTATTTACAAATCTAAAATATTTCTGTTTAGTGAAGTACATAAGCTTTTGACCTGTTCTGTTTGAAAGGTATTTATCTGAAATCTGAGATCATTTAAACGTTTCAATTTATCTGGGGAGGGATTCTGTTTATGTTCTTGATCCAAATGCGCAAGTTCCGTTATAAATTGTTGATTACATTCTAATTGTGCTTTTTTCTTTGCAGAGGAATATGATATCAGATGGCCTCTGATAACTGCTTTGGCCACATCCCACATTATTGCTGGTGACATCTCTGATGCAGCATTATCTTCCATATACTGCTTAATCCAAACTCTAATTTTATCGCAAGCCTCTACGTTTTTAAGAATGGAGCAATTTTATTCCCAGTATGTATGTCTAGGTATACGCTGAGTAAAAGAAAGACTACGGTAAACTGGAGAATGATCAGAGATTAGAACAGGGCCAATTTTACAGTCTTCCACTGATGCCAGCATTTGCTGTGGAAGCAAGAAAAAATCCAGATGTAAATAAGAATTATGTCTTGATGAGTAAAATGCGTAATCATGTGCACGTTTTCTAGGATTAAGTTCCCTCCAAACATCCACTAAACCAACATCCTCCATAACTAACTGCAAAGCTCTAGAGGACTCATAGCTGGAAAGGGACTGAGACCAATCACAAGTCCTGTCAATACAACAGTTAAAATCCCCAGCTATTATCCCCTTAGCTGAACAATATTGACTAAATAGAGAAACAGTTTTAGTATGGCAGTGCCTCTTGTTGTGTAGTAAAGCTCGAAGTAATACTGGTCCACCCAGTCTCGCTTCAATTTTTGATCTTCTATATTAGATAGGTGAGTTTCTTGTAACAATGATATATCAGTTAATTCTATCTATCTTTAAAAATGAAAGGACGCTTTTCCGTTTTATCGGATGGCCTATCCCCTTTATGTTCCATCATGTAACCACATTAAGTGAACTTGCCATATTAACTTACAAAAACAATTGTAACATCCACCATTAAGGAAAAAACCAAACAAACCAAAGACATCAAACCCTCCCCCCAGCCCTCAGGTAAAGACCTTGTCCCCAAACGACATGGCCAACCATTTAGTGGCATGGATCTCTAAACTACTAATGGCAACCGTCAGCAACAGCGCGACCTCGCGTGCAACAATCTTTGAACATAATCCTAGCAGTGTTAATTTTGTTAACGAAATTTTTTCGTCATCGTTATCGTCAACGACCTTTATTTTCCGACTAAAACGAGACGATAACTAAGTAAAAATGATTTCGCGAGGCCTAACACTATAACGAAGTGTATTGACACTTTCGTCAACGAATAAAAACGAAAATGTTTGCCAGAGACGAGATACAATCAGAACTAATGTAGTTCGCATACAGGGGTATTATTTTTAGTAGCCTGTTAGTTGTATCAACACTGCATGTAATCAATATCTGACTGTCAAATCAAATTAATTCAGTACAATTCAAAAACTGTTTTAACAATATTTATTGCCAAGTGACATAGAGCTGAAGATATATGTATGACTTCGATATGTATAATGTTTTCTCATTTACTAGTTTTAAAAGGACATTTTAAAAGTAGGGCTGCATTGCAAAATTAGATAAAATAAAATGTGAAAATTGTGCATATTTGAATAAAGTACGTGCTTAACGTAAACCGTAAAACCCTAATACAAACGTTTTTATGTCACATATTTTAGTGTTCATGGATTTAAGTATTGGTTTTCATAATCCCACACTGGTAATAAAATTAAAGTCTCGTTTTAATGTAAATGTATACGAACTTACCACAATCGCTATTAGAGTAGGATATGGGCGGTCATATTATTTCGAAACATATTATGAAACGTAACGTTTCAGGGGGAAACAGTGCATTTTACGTTTCATTTCAAATAAAACGCAGGGTTGCCAACTTCGGCCAGCTGGTTGGAGTGAGATTTTCTGTTTGAGTTTGTCTGCACACATGTAACATGTTCTTACCTTGTAAATAGTATGCTTTTGTATTTAACCGTGTAAATACACTTTGGATGTAGCTAATTTTAGGTTTATAATGGTATAATTTAGATTTGCTGTAAGATTTCCTGCGTGAGTCTGAAAGCGTGAGTGTCATACCAGAAGCTTGAGATTTGGCAACCCTGAAAACGTACATCTTTTTTTGTTTCACCGGAGTTGATTTATATAACATATAACATTACTTTATATAGTTGTTAAAAAGCGGAAAATTCAACGAACATGAAATCACCTGAAAGAGAGGAGAGTTGATTTTTGGCTCTATACACTAATAGAATTGTAGCCTTGGGGTAATTATTTTGCTGTTGAAAATGCTGAAATAGAATGGTTGCACTTCCTGCTAGTGATGCCATTGAGAAGTATATTTTCATCCATCCATTTTCCAAACTACTTATCCTTCTGGGTTGTAGGGGGTCCGGAGCCTATCCCGGAAGCTATGGGCACAACCCAGGACAGGGGACCAGCCCATCGCAGGGCACACTCACACACCATTCACACCTATGGGCAATTTAGTAACTCCAAGTAGCCTCAGCATGTCTTTGGAATGTGGGGGGAAAGCAGAGTACACCCCATGATAACATGGGGAAAACATGCAAACTCCACACACGTGTAACCCAGGCAGAGACGCCATCCCTGGTCCCAGAGGTGTGAAGTAACAGTGCTAACCACTGCACCACCATGCCACCCCCAAGTGTGTTTTTAATGTTTGGAATTTTTTTTTTGATAATGGGTATAAATCCCTGAGACCATTATTGGTCTTTTTCTTTGAACATATTTGAGAATTTCAGGTGAAACATTTAACAGCGAACAATAGCAAATAAAAATATTACAAATATAAATTTTAATTTTTTTATTTTAATATTCAGAGAGAGCAGACCTGGTGGCATTATAGCCTATGCACTTTTTCTTTGAAGTGATTTTACTTTTGCACTAATGGCACTACTGATTTTACAGTACTCAGTTTAAGTTTACATATACATATGTTTGTGTTTCAAATAAGAATGAAATCTGTGTATTTGGTATTTGTGTACTGCACAGTCAGACC